GAAACCAGTTGTTTGTACGGCTAGAGCCACCATGCTGGGGGTTTCCAAAATCACTGCTTTTGACCAAAAGGAATGAATGGATATATCACATATAAAGGAATGAATGAAAATCCAGATCATGTAAAACACTTACCAATATGAGAATCTACATATAACAATTAATGAAAAATGTTTTTAATATCAGGATCTTGTGAAAATTTATCTTTTCCCTACCTAATGTACAGAAAGAAACTGAAAAGAGCTTCTGGTGAAGTGAACACTGTAAACTATTATCAGTGGACAAGAAAATACCATGCACCTGCAGCTAATGGTCCAAAAAGATTGCCATCCCTGCTTCTTTTTGGGTAAGGATCACTTTTACCTCCATGTTTGTGTCTGTCTTTATGAGGATGGTAGAGATGATAATAATCAGTGCCAGATTCAATATGACTGCTTGCGAGGCTCATGGTGAGCATGGTGGCTGCTCCTTTTATTTTGTCTGCCATGATGCCTTCCTTCTTTCTTATGATACTTGTGGAGATGAATTTGAGATCGACAAACATCTGTCCTATACTTCGGATCAAAATAATCTCTCCTCTTCCCTGCCATAGCTCGGTCATCCCACCAGTCGTAGATAGGGTCAAAAAGTCCTTTTTCATGTAAAAGACAAATAAGCACAACCACTGCAACTCCATATACAGTTTATATGCTTTTGTTCCATTTTATAAAGGAAATCTTAACAAGATAGCTAAATAAAAAGAATTACCAGTGGGAAAAATCGCCAACAGTAAACCAAACATTAGTATCCATGTCATGCACCACTACCACTACCACTATCACTACCACTACCACAATCACCACCACCACTACCACTACTATGATCACGACTACCACGACCACGACTATGATCACGACTACCACGACCACGACCATTATGACCCCCAATATCACTACCACTACCACTACCACTATAACTACCACTACTACAACGACGATTACCACTACCACTTCTACGACCATGACAACCACGACCACTACAACCATTACCACTACCACTACCACTATCACGACCACGACCACGACCACGACCACGACCATTATGATCATTACCACTACCACGACCACGACCACGACCATGACCATGACCACGACAACGACTATTATGACTACGATTACGACTATGACTACGACTACGACTACGACTACAACTACGACTACGACTACGATTACGACGACGATGACGACAACTACCACTACTACTACGACTACTATGACTACTACCACTACCACTTCCACTACCATTACCACTACCACTATCACTATGATTACGACTACGACGGCGATGACTAATACGACTACGACTACTATAACTAATATGACTACAACTACTACCACTATTACCACTACTAGTTCACAGTTGTTGGAACATACACTTACATGAGATATTACACACTTAAAAAATTAAACCATAGATAAATATTTAGATAGATAATTAGAGAGAGAGAGAGTCAAAGCACACCATCAACTAGATATTGGAGTATTTATCATGGATATTGGGAAGATTTTCAAGAGTTTGGTGAAACCCATTAGTCATTAGATTCCAGTGATGATCTAAGATTGCCTATTTTTACCAGAAAAAAGAAGGTTTGCTATTGATAACATATATATATTTTGTCAAATCATCCTTAGAACCCCTATCTTCTCAAATTTAGGGAAGAGGTCTGCTACACCACAAACCTTTAAAGAAGGCATTATTTGTGCCTCGTGCTCCTGCGGTTTTCCATCGAAATGCGTGAACGAGAAAGCCTGCGATGCAATTCAGAGCTTTTTATTATGTATACTTTTAAACCTTAAAATGACAGGTAAGCAATCGAGGTCAAGGCATATTAAGACTAAATAGAGTAAGATACAAAACAGTCTGAAGGAATCAGCTGGCCGGAAGCATCCTGTGAGCTTCACATTCCTTTGTCATGCAAGCCTTAATAAAACTCTACCCCACTTACCTCACTCACATTTTAATACAAGACTGGTTGACAAGAATAATGTGCGGGCAGTCTCCAGACAACAATTTTCTATCTATTCTATCTTATTCCCAATCACTTATAGAGACCTTTGAGCAACCAACTACAGAAAAGTAAAGATAGCAAGCTTATATATATATATATATATTATTTTTATAAACTAGTTGTAACTCCAAGCTTTCTCTATTTAAGTAGTCCCCTCAATTTTCTCTTCTCCCATCTGCGGCCAAGCCACCCAGCTCTCTTATTATCTTAGTTCTATCTGTCTGCCTCACCACCAGGAAGGCAGGAACCAGCTAACCACCTTGGTTTTCTCTATATAAAAACCCATCCCAGCAGTACTGCCTTTGCTTGGATCCAGTAGTAACACTTCTGTTGATTTGTATTTACATACAATAAAAGTACATATTAAGAGATATGTCTGTTGCTTTATGCATAGGGGCCTTCATTATCACATGCATTATGCATTGGGTTTACAACTGGAG